TGGCTTGTAAAAAACAGTGGCTTATCTGACCCATGGTTCTGGTGGCCTCGAAGTCCCAAGGTGAAGGGCTGGCATCAGGCTGGCTCTGACACAACCCACAAGAGGCCATCAGGTGGTGGGTGTGCACAGACAGCAGTCCGCCTACCCTGTGTGCGCTCGCACCAACTCGGTCTTGGCCCTGACCCTGTCCTGTCCCAGTGCCCCCCATGGACCGGAATCGGGGTAAGTTCTCACCGTGAGTTTGGGAGGACGTGTTCACACTGGTGAGTGGCCAGAGTGGACATCTGGCAAGCATGGGCACTGGCCCAGCCCCTGCCCGGGCTCCCAGGGAGAGTAGGTTGTGGGCGCCGACCCTAAGGGCTCTGAACCGACTGATGAAAACTGCAGCCTCTGTCACCATCAGAAATTCTGCTCTTTGGCCATTAAAACCAACTCCCGGTCCTTTTGAGTGTTTGGGGTATAGAAATTAAAGCGGCGTATGGAGTCCGAGGCCCACTTCAAAATGTGTGTCCTTCCCTAGGGAGGCAGATGGCTCGGATGAGGAGGAGACCCACCGTCCAGTTTGTCTCATCGATGGGGCCGAGGCAGCCCATGGCCTTGTCAGATCTTGGTCATTTGTCCCCGTGACCCCGAGGTTGCCTGTGGTCGAAGCAATACGGGGACCACAGGCCTCAGTGTGGGCCTTGGCTCATGGCTGGATTCTGTTCTGCAGAGGGCCAGGCCCAGGGCGGGGCTGGGGGCTCAGCCTCTGCTTGCAGGTCCGTTTTCTGCCTGGCCCCCGGCCAGGAGAGACTCTGCACCCAGGCCCCTACCTGCCCTGCACCCCTGGCCAGCCCCACGGCCACAGCCAGCAGGTCAGCGGAAATGGTGCCCCTCGTGCCCTCCACGGGGCGGTTTCCCCGACGCACGCCGAGGGCCTCGTCCAGAGTCCTCCACCTCCGGTCAGCTCCATGCCTCAGGTTCCACCGTGGCCACCTGACAGCAGGTCCTGACCTCTCCTGCCCATGGGCCACCGTCCCAGCAGAGCAGACCGACGTTCCCGTGGGCTCCCCGGTGTTTGTTTTTATCCCAGAGAGTACACCCACTCACCAGAGCACGCCCACCGGTGGGGTGTGGTCACACTGCGTGCACACACGTGTCTGCCTGCCCGAGTGCCCGTGCTGGGGTCAGAGTCGCGTGCCCACGCCGGCAGTGCCACAGGACCAGTGCTGGACTCGGAGTGGGGCTCCACATTTCCTGCCGCTTTTGTGCTGAGGCGGTCACTGGAGGGGCGGAGGGGCGCGTCCTACGTCTCTGCACGTCTCCGAGTACCATGGGGCACGCGGCCTCTGAAACCTCTTTGCACCTCCAGAGAGAGGGGTGGGGAGGCGGGCGACCGAGTGGCGCTCAGAAACACCTTTTGACCTTTGGAGGCCTGTAGGCATGCTGGGAGCCCCCCCACACTGCGAGGACCATGGGCAGGGCCGGTCACTAAAGTAGACATGCTTGTATTTTCAAGTGTGAGGAGGATCTCCTTAAAGTCCTTAAATGTCGAAGACGTGTCCCACACTCAGTGCTGGGCACCTGCAGCCCGTCCGGGTGCCTCTGCGCCGTCTCCGTCTGCAGCAGGCTGGCCGGCCAGGGCACACTCAGGCTGGGGGATCTCACCCCTTGAGGTGCTTCATTCTGCATTTCTGGGCTTGCTTGTGAGCCAACACACCCTCACCACTGTCACTGCGGAGTGTCCCACCTGGGAGGGTCGCGCCCTGGCCTGGCTGTGGACATGGCCCTGGTGCTCTAAGCTCAGCAGCTGTTGCAGGCGTCACTGGGCGGGCATTGCTGGCCTCTGCTCTTGGCCGTCACGAGTGGTGCCGCCCAGGACGTGTGCATGTTCCGTGGGACACGTGTTCATTCCCCAGGGTGTGCAGGGGCACGCCTGGGCCCACAGTGGTGCTATGCTCAGTGGTTTGAAGCACAATGGAATCTCTCGGCTCCCACCAGCCACGGCTGAGCTCCTTATCTCACCACTCGCCGTCGCCTGTCTGGGGACTGAGCTGTCCTGTGGGTGCGAGGCGTGCTGCCTCTGGTGGGGGGTGTGGGGCACCTGCCCCAGGGCTGTCCACTCAACCTTAGAAGCTGCGTCTTCTCCCTTGCAATCCCACTGGCACACCAAGCTCCCTTCAGGGGACAGCCGTCCGGTGTCAAACAGGAAGACCGTGGCTGACAGGTGGCCTTCCCCGCGTGAGCGGCCCCAGTTGCCCCCTGCCGCAGTGTGGGGCCATGGAGCGCTGGCATCTGGGGCGCACCTCACCTCCCCTCCCTCTGCAGGAGCTGGAGAAGTGCGACGCCAACCACTACATCATCCTGTTCCGCGACGCGGGCTGCCAGTTCCGGGCGCTGTACTGCTACTACCCCGACACGGAGGAGATCTGCAAGCTGGCCGGCACGGGGCCCAAGAGCATCGCCAAGAAGATGGTCGACAAGCTGTACAAGTACAGCTCGGACCGCAAGCAGTTCAGCCTGATCCCCGCCAAGACCATGTCCGTCAGCGTGGACGCGCTCACCATCCACAACCACCTGTGGCAGCCCAAGCGGCCCGCGGCGCCGAAGAAGAGCCAGCCTCGCAAGTGACTGGGTGCGGTGGCAGGAGGGCCCCGGCACACCCGTGCTCGCCGCCGTTTTCTCCCGCGGGTACGGGTGTGCAGTCAGACGGCAGGGGACCTGCCCCCAGCTCCTGGCGCACTTGGGCTGCGTTGGGCCATGCGAGGATGGGGGTGAGCAGGTGTCCAGGCGGCCTGCGGTCCCTACCGGCCACAGAGGCTCTCGGCGTCCAGCCTGCGCCTCGCCCGTTTGCACATGGCCTGCCACCTGGCTGGGCGTTGTGACGCGTCCGGCCAGGTGTCCGGACGTCTTTGGAGGAGTCCCTGGTGGGAAGTGTTCTCGTTCGCGGAGTTGTACGGTATTTATTGGTTGTGTCTACTGCCAGCTTTGTGTCCACTGAGACTGAAAACCGTTCTTGTTCCTTGCTGCTCAGAAAGTCTCTGCGGAGCCAGCTCCCTGGAAGCGTGGCGGCCTGCAGTCTCTTTGCTAAGATGGCAGTCCCAGGTGTGGAGGCGGCTGTCCTCATGACCGTCACAGGGGGTGCGTGGCGTGGCAGCAGGTGGTTGCCACGTTGCAGGTGGGGCCATCGGGACGGGGTTGGGACGGCTCTGCTGGTGTGTTCGCGTCAATAAAGACAGTCTGGGTGCAGGCAAGGCCTCTCACTCTGAGCGCGGGTCCTGAAGGTGGAGCGCCTTACCCACGGCTCCCGGCTTGGTCGACATCGCGGGCTGCCCGGGGCTGGCTCCCGGGTGATGGTTCCGTCCTGTGCTATCGGAGAGCGAGCGAGCGGCTGTCCCGGCTCACCCAGGACTCCACGTGAGCAGAGTGGCTCTGGGCCTTCCGCAGCAGCTGCGCAGTCAGCGCTTCTCCGGAGCAGACCCCCCGGGGAGCAGCGAGCTCCAGCCCTGGCGTGCGTGCTCAGTGTGCACCAGGGCTGCCAGGATGCCTGGCGCGGAGCGGCTGCCAGGGGGGCCTGGAGCCGCTGGCACGCGTTTTGCACATGTTTTTT